TTATTCAAGACTTATTGTGCTCAAAACCCAATAATTAAGTTGTTCAAGGTTAATTATATTCAGGATCAAACGGTTTATAATCTTCGAGTAAATTATATACCGAATCAAATGTCAGAAGCTGCTCACTTTTTAGTCAAGAAGACTCGTGAATTAAATCGTTCTGCGTATATGGCAAAACAGAATAACTTTTTACATAAGCATGTGTCGAATAATAAACAAAACCCTGATACAAAAAAGGGTTACCTAAATGTTCACTTTGTGATGTATGAAATAGAAATAATGTGCCTAAAACTCTGGCAACTTCAATCACAAGATCTAATTTCGTATAATGAAACGTTACCCAGACCTAAAGAAAAGTCAGTCCTAATTTGGTTAATTCAAAAATTGGTCACCGCTTATAATGAATTTGAAAACAAGACAACTATTAAGCGAAATGATATCTCTAATACAATCTACGGCCAATCTAAAAAATCCAAACATTGTACCATTAGAATGTTTAATTGCAATAAAGATTAATTTAGTTGATATAAAATTAGTATTCCCCTCAGTATTATTTAAATTTTGGCACAGATTTTTTGAACATTTTAAAATCCATCATTATTTATGTCATTATACTTATGTGACTTTAATTGAACATATGGTAGAATTCAGCAAGTATCTAAAACATACGATACAATTAATTTCGTTAGAGCGTCAAGACTTAATAAATAAAGATGATATCGATTATGAGCAATGGTCGAATCAACCACAAGTATTGCACCGATTATCACCAAAGTGGACATTTCTAAATTGTTTTATCGATATTTACCAAAGTCTAAAAATGTATCCACCGAATTACAGTATTCGCTGAATAATTTTATGTATTCTCTCACTTCTAGCATTACATATTATTTTATTCGCCATAATATGATCAATATTAAAATTGACTCTAATATATTTTATGGTTATTTCAATACTTTGCCAGATACAATGCGTTATCGTTTGGTTGGCCAAAGTTATTTAGAGTCATTTAACATATCTAAGATTCGACCATATTATTCATTGCTCTTAGAAGAGATTATGCGCTATGCCAATGAAAATTGTATTGACAAATCAAAGTTGAAATTTTCGCCTGATTGCTTCAACACATTTATGAATATAACTTCAACCATTCTGGAATCGTTATTTGTACCATTGTTTGCATCTTTTGATCTAATGTGTCCCATCGATGGTTCGTGTGCATGTAATCATGGGTTAGAATCTAATTTATCTACACCTAATACTTCGTTCAATTTATGTTTCCAACATAAATACGATTTAACTGATTATGCTGCGATTTGTTCAGAGATGTGCACAATAATTGATTTATTTATGGAAAACACTCTGAATAAATAATCAAACACTATAAAAAAAGAAAATGTCTTACATCCGTAAGATAAACTTTTCCGCACTGTGATCCACAACATGCATTTATTACAAATCTTTTACTCAAACTGAATCTGACATTAGTGTTACGATAAAAATCATTTTCGAAGCACTTTTCATACAAAAACTACTAAAAATATCCTAATCATGAGAAAATTTGCAGAGGGTATTTTTTTCACAAAAAGTTAACATTCTGAACGTTTGAAGAAATTTCAATGCATATTAGGGATACTTCCCATACAAAAAGATTTGGACAAATGCATTAACAACGCCGAAGACGATAGTGCTCGCTTGTCCAAACTCAACGAATTAAAATTGAATGGAATTGCTCACGTCAATGATGAAAACCTTTGGGAAATTTTCTGTTCCATCGCCAAATTAATCAGCTTTGACACATCTAATCCCGTGCACATTCCTGACCTGTCACGGTTGTTTAAAAGGAACAAATCAACTAATGAGTCGCTGCCTTTACCAACCATTATCATGAAATTTGTAGCCAAACACATTCGTGATAGTTTTTATGGCTTGTACTTAACGAAAGTCTCAAAAAAACTCATATCAACTGAGGATATCAATCTACCTCAAGGCGGGCGTGTTATAATTGGCGAGGTATTAACACAAGCAAATCAAATGTTATTTGTAGCTGCTATGAAATTGAAAAAGGATCAAAAATTAGCATAGGTTTTTACTCAAGATGGATTAGTGCAGGTCAAAGCAATAAGAACGGATAAGCCAACTAAAATCAGATCGCAACGCCAATTGGATATCTTTATTGAATCAAACTTGTTAAGACTGAACGAAAAATCTGATGGTGGTGGTAACAGCCAACAGCAACAACAGGTCTTAAGCAGCAGTCACAAACCGTCCACTAGTAACACCAATGCCAACTCAACGAATACAAAACAAATATCACATGCAGATCGTACCAATTTGATTGCCGAACAATCTTCTCTTCCCATAACATCTCCGATGGATACATAAACGTCTAATTATAGCAAGTATACAGCAAACCAACATCGAACACCAAAGGCTTTTTCTACTCATGAATTTAATTTAAAATACATTTATTTCTCTTTCAAATTACCTTAAAAAAAAATATTCTATTTCCTATAAATCACTGAAACAACTCAACTAATTTTTTTTATCCTACTATTTATAACAACGACCAAAATTTGCAAGCAAAAATTGGTGCGATCAATTTTTGGAATTGAATTTCTCTAAGAAATAAAAGAAAACAATCCCAAATATATTTTCAAACAATAAGAAAATCATTACATTTAAGAAATTATATTGAATCAGGCCCATAGTATAAATTTATTTATTTATTTTTTCTCTATATTTTCTTATTCCTCTACTAACTAAGAAAACGAATATTACAATTATACCTATTAAATTGGGGTTCAATTTGCAAAACATTCTAATATAGCATAAAATGTCAAATAGAAAAACTAATATCACATTCTACTATCAAAATGTTCGGGGTATTAGAACTAAAACACATATCAGATCAACGATTTCTCAATCATTTTATGACTTTATTATCTTCACTGAGCATTGGCTGAACGAGAATTTTGAGAGTGGCGAGTATTTTGATGAATCATTTTTTGTGGAAAGGGGGGATCGAAATATAGTTGATAAGAAATGGGGAGGGGGTGCTCTGATAGCAATAAAAAACTCAATTGCATATAAAAGAATACACGAATGGGAAAATGAATCACCATTTGAGAATGTATGGATAGAAATCAAAAGTAATTCAAATACTAAACTATTTCTCAATGCTGTTTATATACCCCCTTCTACCAGATATGAAGTATATGTTAAGTATTTCGATCTCTTGTCTGAAATAATGTGTGCTCGTGAACCAAATGCAAAATATCTAATGTTGCAGATGCAACAACATAGAATTTAAGATTTTATATTTTATATTTAGATTTAAGTAGGGTTTGTTTTGAATCTGCCGCCTTCCGCTCTGGTCGCTCTTTCGCTCTCTCATGTGGTAGCCCGAGCGAGTGCATCGTTTCCCGCTAAAATATGCACTCGCTCGGCGCTCTGTGTGCCTATAAAAGGCACGCTCTCGCACGCAAACGGGCTATTTGATGTTGATCACGAGCGAATACCACACGGGAAAGCAACAAAGACGACTAGAACGAAAGCAAGGCAAGCGCGATTAGTTCGAAAGTTAAAAGAAAGGCATCAACATTATTAAAAAGTAAGAAACCATATAAATAAAATAAAAAGTAATTCTCAAAAATTAAAACAAAAATATTTCCTTATATAGTGAATTCAAACAATTCATTTCATGGTCCTTCGAATCAATTTGACACCGATAGAAGAAGCAATGCAGTTCATAAAACATCATTAAAATCAGCAAAAAAACGTCTTTTGGAGCAATTGCATGAAGAACTTGAAGCGTTGAGCGACAGTGAAAACGAAATCGATAGCAATAACGAAAAGAAACAACAAGAAGATAGCGGTCAAGATTTAGATGTGTTAGAAATTCAAATTGAAAACGAGCTGTTTGGCACACCACAGAAAATATCGGACACTAATACCTATTCAGAACCGCTCACACCAAAAATCATTTCTATTCGAACACAGCTAGAGCCGAAAAATCTATTATCTCCAATCGCATCAACACCAACGAAAAATATCACAGTCTCAATTTCAAATGATACATCGTTCAATACAATTTACACACAAAAATTACCAGCATATACTCTATCATTTTCACCTGATAAACAAAGAGCATCGGAGTCATTGCCATGCATACGTAAACCAACAAGGCCACCAAAACTATCATCGATTTGCATAAAACCAAGCAATTCATCACACAATCACAAACAAACACAAAAACCCATTGGCAAACAAGCAACCATTCGCACACAATCATCGATTCGTAAATCAACATACGACAAGAAGAACATTCGTTCATCATCGAACAGTTATAAGAATAATTGCACACAATTGCATACTCGCACCAACACACAAGCACAATTTCGAACATCTTCGCATAACGATACATGCAAATCAACACGCTCAAATTCGCACGCTCGTCATGATAAACCGTTATCTATTCAGACATCTCTCACACATATGCCAATAGATACCAGTGCATCACCTAATATACAAGCAGCAGACACAGCTCATCACCAGCAAACGCAAGCGCAGACGCACGTCTCCGCACACACACACGCACACACACACGTTACAGATAAAGCCGCAGAATCACGTGTTATTACACTGAATAATAAGTACGCGCCAAGCGGAATTCAATTAGCAATAGCAGTAAAGGGCACCAAGCGTCTAAGCAAAAACGCACTAAAGAAGATCACACGCAATTTAGCGTCACAGATGTAATCCACTTCATGATTAAAAATCATTTCGCATATATCGCATTTCAATTTAAAATTCATTTCGCTCATGAAATCATTTCGCACTCAATACGCATAATTTCTTTTCGCATTTTGAATATTTAAAAATAAAATACTTATAAATTATATTCACAATTGAATCACAAATCAATTTATTTACACAAAAAAATATAATAAATTTCGATGATTTATTTTGCATAAAAACAAACATTCTCATCATTTAAAATGGCACCTTCAAAACCTCCAGATAAAATAGGAGAAAATAGCAACGAAATGTCTAAGGAATACAAAAAACTATTAGATAAAAGAGAGGTAATGATACGCGCATTACAGCATCACGAAAGAAAGGTAAAAGACCTCATTGCTGATACGACTCAGGCATCAATTTTAGCCAGATTAAACCAGTTAGAAGGAGTAAAACAGAAATATGATAATGTAATGGAACGTTTGGAGGAGCATAGAGAATTTGAATATTCACATTTGGAAATTTCAAATGAAGATATATGTGATATATATATTGAAATTGTCGACAAACTAACAAGACGTACAAGTTCAAATGATTCATTATTACTCAATTCATCGTTGGCTAATAAAAGTGCTCAATTTCAAGAGATTAAATTACCTCGTATTTCGATTCCAACATTTTCCGCTGAAGACCAGTTAGAATGGTCATCATTTCATGATGCATTTTTTTCCTTAATTGATCAAAATCAAAGCATATCAGATGTGGCCAAATTACACTATTTAAGATCATCTTTATCAGGCCCAGCATTAAAATTAATCAGCAAACTACCAATCACAGACGTGAATTATAAAATTGCATGGAGATTATTATGCGATCGGTTTAAAAACAAACGAATTATCGTCAATGCATGCTTAAATTCTTTTATAAATCAGCCACAAATAAAGTTTCAAAGTGCAGAAGCGATTCGTTCCTTAATTGACACCACCGAAAGCGCTATAAGATCAATTGAGACATTAGAAATTAAGATCGATGAATGGGACCCATTTTTGGTGTTTATTCTTCAATCAAAGTTGGATAAAGAAACAGCCAAAAATTGGGAAATGCATTTAGGAGGATCCACAAACATACCAAATTATACAGAAATGATTACCTTTTTAGAAACACAATATCGCATTATGAATAACACGTTGGAGTTGTCGGGCGTTGTCAAGGAATCATTTATCGTTAAACAGTCTACGTCAAAATCACATGAAAGCAAAAAGGATTTCTGTCCAGTTTGCAAAAATGACCATTATATCCTTTATTGCGAAATTTTCGATAAGTGGTCAATCGCCAATAAAAAGGAGTTCATAAAAGAGAAAGAGAAAAAAAAGAAATGCAATGGTAAACACAGCACCAAATTACATGAAGATAGCGTCTTGCATATTAATGCACTAGCCACAACAAAAGACAAAAAATTACTCGCAAAATTCATTGTTAAAGTAAAGGATAAATTTGGTATTTCCCATATGATTCGTGGAGTGGTAGATAACTGTTCAGAAGGAACTGCAATTTCAGAGAAAGCAGCTCAATTACTTCATTTACCACGCAAACGTGTACACATTCCTTTGACTGGCGTGGATGAAATTTCACTTGGAAAGGTAACTAGTTTGGTCCGAATACAAGTGCAATCATTAGTACATGATACATTTATTTTTGATGTAGATGCGCTCGTAATGAAAAAAATTATGTCAACAGGAATTGAATTCAAAAATGAACGAAAGCAATGGAAATACTTGAATGAATTGCCTTTAGCAGATCCTGAATTTGATGAGCCAAATGATATCGATTTGTTATTTGGGTTAGACATTTATGCGATAATTCTTGAAGAAGGTTTGCGAAAAGGACGCCTGCATGAGCCTATCGCTCAAAATTCATTATTAGGTTGGTTATGTTTCGGTCCCGCGTGCAAGAAATCTGATTTCAGTATTCGTATTCATTCGACTTTTCTCGAGGAGAATTTAAAGCGTTTTTGGGAAAATGAAGAGGTTGAAATTACTCCAATTTTAACAGAAGAACATCAAAAATGCTTGGATTTTTGTAAAGAAAACACGAAAAGATTACCAAGTGACCACATTGAAACGGCATTTCCGTTTAAAATGAACCCAAAAAGTGAAAATTTTCTAGGCGATTCGAGAAGAATGGCACTAAGAAGATTTTTTCATTTAGAAAAGAAATTCCAATCGAACTCTGAGTTTTACGAGCGTTATAAAGCAGATATTTTGAGCTATCTTGAATCAAATCATATGAGTTTGAGTAAATCACCAGCAAACGAGGGTTATTACTTGCCCCATCATGCAGTAATACGTGAAGAAAGCACAACCACAAAACAACGTACAGTTTTTGATGCATCAGCAACAACTACAAATGGTTTTTCTCTCAATGATAGGTGCTTGAATGGCCCAACAATTCAACCAGAATTGTTTGATATTTTCACTCGATGGCGTACGCACAAGATCGCATTAGTAGCTGACATTGAAAAAATGTATCGGCAAATTCGTATGGATCCCGAGGATCGAAAATACCAGAAGATTCTCTGGAGATTTTCCAAAGACGAGCCGATTCAAACTTATGAATTGAATACTGTTACCTTTGGCGTCAAACCAGCACCAATAATGGCAATTTTTTCGACTTTTTTTTTGGCTGATGAGGCAAAGAGTCAATTTCCATTAGCATCCGAGAGCATTAAAAAGGATTTTTATGTGGATGACTGTCAGAGCGGCAGTTATTCTACATCATCTGCAAAAGCATTGCAAACTGAACTGAATGCACTCTTTTCATCAGCACACATGACTCTTCGTAAATGGGCTGCTAATGATCAAGCTGCATTAGAAGGCATTCCACCGGAAAATAGAGCAATTTCTCCCTCTTTAACACTCAAATTCGATGAAAGCATAAAAACATTGGGAATGAGATGGACACCGGCAACAGATAAAATACATTTCACCATTGATTTATCGAGATTTAATCAAAATGATAAGGTAACAAAACGTCAACTTTTATCAGACGCTTCGAAGCTTTACGATCCACATGGAATTTTGAGCCCGATTACAATAAAAGCAAAAATAATGATGCAAGAACTTTTCAAAAGTCACACTGACTGGGATAGTCTTGCCCATGAAGAAATTCAAGTTGAGTGGAAAGTTTATCGTGAAGAATTGGGCATTATTAAGAACATAAAGATTGATCGATGGTTTCAATCAACGCCATATTCATCAATTTTTTTGCATGGATTTTGCGATGCATCCGAAAGAGCATATGCAGCTGTAAATTATTTAGTGCAAACTACATGCAATATTACAACATCCATATTAGTGTGCTCAAAAACGAAAGTGGCTCCAATTGATCCCTGTTCGATTCCTCGTTTAGAGCTATGTGGTGCTTTGTTGTTAACTCGGTTAATGAATCGAATTGCAAGCAATTTAAAAGTAACAAGGGAGAACGTTTATTTATGGACAGATTCCTCGATAGTGTTAACTTGGCTCCAATCACACGCATCTCGTTGGAAAGTTTATGTCGCACATCGTGTAAATGAAATTCAGACTTTATTCCCATCGAAATATTGGCGTCATGTTCGCACACATGATAATCCAGCTGACATTGCTTCAAGAGGTGCATTGCCAAGTCAACTCATAAACAATGAACAATGGTTCCACGGTCCATCCTGGTTGGTCTCACTTGAGAAGGATTGGCCAAAAGCAATACCTATCCTTTCGCCACAACTCAACACAGAAGAACGAGTGCATGTAAACGTCATTCATACACAGCCACAAGAAATAGAGCTTTTATTGAGATTTTCAGATTTAACTCATCTTTTGCGTGTCACAGCTCGCTTGTTTCGATTTATAAATCAACATATTATTCGCAAAGAGACGTTGACATATACCAAAGAATTCGTAACATTTGCAGAACTGCGTAGAGCGAAAGATATGTGGGTTAAATACATTCAATCGCGTTGCTTTGATGAAGAAATATCAAGTGTTAATTCAAAAGGATTTGTTAATGAGAAAAGTAAGCTAAAGTCACTTAACCCAACACTCATAAATGGCATTTTAGTTGTGCAAGGCCGATTAGGACGAGCGAATCTCCCCGAAAGGCAAAAATTTCCTGCTATTTTGCCTGCAAAAAGCCATTTTACTCAACTCGTCATTAATCACGCTCACAAAACTATGTTACATGGGTCGATTCATCAAACTTTAGCTCGTGTGCGTCAAGAATTTTGGGTTTTGAACGGTCGCAATGTTGTGAAATCGTTTATTCACCGCTGTATCACATGTTTCAAACAAAAACCAAAGCCAATCGATCAGTTAATGGCACCTTTACCCACAATTAAGACTCAACCAGCACGAGCGTTTATTCATTGTGGTTTGGACTTTGCAGGTCCAATTGGAATAAAAAATTCAGGCAAGAGAAATGCCAATTGTGTGAAAGGTTACATTTGTGTTTTTGTATGCATGGTTTCAAAAGCAGCCCATTTAGAGCTCGTCGGCGATCTAAGTACACAAAAGTTCATTCTAGCGTTACGCCGCTTCATATCACGCAGAGGCATTCCAAGCGATATCTATTGCGATAGAGGTACCAATTTTCAGGGTGCGAATAATTAGTTGCCCCGCTTATTTTATCAAGCTGAATCGTCGGTGACATCAGAAATTGCCAATATTTTCGCGGCTGATGGCATAACTTTCAATTTTAATCCCCCAAGCGCTCCGAGTTGGGGTGGCCAATGGGAATCATTCGTGAAACTCACAAAACATCATTTGCGCCGAATGTCTACGCCAACAAAGTTTACTTGGGAAGAAATGAGCTCACTATTGTGTCAGATAGAAGCTTGTTTGAATTCAAGACCCCTTAGTGCCTTAACTACAGACAGTAATGACTTGGATCCTCTCACCGCTGGCCATTTGTTAATTGGAGATCCGCTTAATATGATCCCTGAGCCAAGTTTATTAGCATTGAAAGACACAACGCTTGATCGTTTCCAAGCTATTCAAAAAAATGTTCAGATTTTTTGGAAGCGTTTTTATATAGAATATCTTCACAATTTTCAACCTCGGCAAAAATGGCAATCGATAAAAGAAAATCTTGCGATTAACGATCTTGTTGTAATTATCGAAGATAACATGCCGCCTGCGAAGTGGCTTATGGCCAGAGTTATTCAAGTTCAACCGAGCACCGATGGACTTGTTCGTGTAGCGAAGCTAAAAACAAAGAATGGAGAAATGCAACGCCCAATCACAAAATTATGTCGCTTGCCGCTGGCCCGGGAGAATGTTGCAGATGCAACAACATAGAATTTAAGATTTTATATTTTATATTTAGATTTAAGTAGGGTTTGTTTTGAATCTGCCGCCTTCCGCTCTGGTCGCTCTTTCGCTCTCTCATGTGGTAACCCGAGCGAGTGCATCGTTTCCCGCTAAAATATGCACTCGCTCGGCGCTCTGTGTGCCTATAAAAGGCACGCTCTCGCACGCAAACGGGCTATTTGATGTTGATCACGAGCGAATACCACACGGGAAAGCAACAAAGACGACTAGAACGAAAGCAAGGCAAGCGCGATTAGTTCGAAAGTTAAAAGAAAGGCATCAACATTATTAAAAAGTAAGAAACCATATAAATAAAATAAAAAGTAATTCTCAAAAATTAAAACAAAAATATTTTCTTATATAGTGAATTCAAACAATTCATTTCATGGTCCTTCGAATCAATTTGACACCGATAGAAGAAGCAATGCAGTTCATAAAACATCATTAAAATCAGCAAAAAAAACGTCTTTTGGAGCAATTGCATGAAGAACTTGAAGCGTTGAGCGACAGTGAAAACGAAATCGATAGCAATAACGAAAAGAAACAACAAGAAGATAGCGGTCAAGATTTAGATGTGTTAGAAATTCAAATTGAAAACGAGCTGTTTGGCACACCACAGAAAATATCGGACACTAATACCCGGGGGTGGAAGCGAGTAAGTTTGGAGCAGGTTGCTAGCAAGTAGCT